TCTCTAGAAGTGACAACATTGGTAAAATTTCTAGATATATCTCATAAAATAAAAAAACTTGAGCTCAATTTTTGCTTATTGCTTCTAAGAAATTATTTAAGTCATTAACAGTTAAATAATCCTCGACACATCAGTAACTTAAACATGTCTTGTGTAACACTTCACAGTTTGCAAGTTATTTCTTTATATTCTTTATCTTAATAATCTATTATTTGTTAACTGTTCATACAAATACTATACAAATAAGAAAGTTAAAACTATAAGGAAAAGAGATGAAAAAATACCAAGACAGAAAAATACCAAGAAATACCAGTCGCTTGGTGACAAAATGTTTGCTATAAATCATCTAAGTTAACTGGAACTCAGCTAGCTTGTTCATTCATTCATCCAACAAATATTTACTGAGGTAGTTACAAAACAGCCAGCTCATTTATTTTTGTATCCGCAGAGCCTAACATAGGCCTGGGTCATATCAGGGGCTAAATAAATATTTCTGGAGAGGTTTCTAGCATGTACTGAAGTAAATGATGAAAAGTCACATTCCTGTATTATTTTTCTTTTTTTTTCTCTTTTTCATTTCTTTTCTTTTTTTTTTTTGAGACACAGTGTCGCTCTGTCACCAGGTCGGAGTGCAGGGGCATGATCTCGGCTTACTGCAACCTCCACCTCCCAGGTTGAAGCGATGCTCCTGTCCCAGCCTCCCAAGTAGCTGGGAATACAGGCGTGCACCACCACGCCCAGTTAATTTTTGTATTTTTGGTAGAGATGGGGTTTCATCATGTTGGCCGGGTTTCATTATGTTGGCCAGGTTTCATCATGTTCTCCACCTCCTGACCTTGTGATCCGCCAGCCTCAGTCTCCCAAAGTGCTGGGATTACAGGCATGAGCCACTATGCCCAGCTATTTTTCTTATTAATCATCACCATTATTATAAATCATGTTCTCTGCCATCAGAAAATTTATTTCTATTTGTAAATAATGGACAAATATAAAATAACTAGAGAATAATTCATGATAAAAGTGAACTACAATAAATAAGGCAATTATTAACAAAAAATAATCATTCATCCAAATAAAATTTCACCATAGACTTTCTTTAAACTACCAATCTCCATAATCGATTCTTAGTTGAAGATTTCTGAAAACATCCTTTAAGATTTGAAGCTTCTCAATAATATGGCTGCTTATATCAAGTTCTATAATTTTTCTGTATTGTAATCAGGAAGCTGGAGGACTTTCTCAGAGTTATATAGAAATTAAAATGTCTGTCACTTTACTTGACCTGTTAAATAATTGAAGATCTACACTCATCCTAAGCCACAGTATTTTCAATGTATAATTTATTAAAGCTATTAAATCTTTCAGAAAATATTTATTGAGCACTATTATTCTAGGTACTATACTAATTAATTGCTCTTCACTTCATGTCTTATCTTCCCCTTACCCCTTCATAAAACCTTAAAAATTTCAATAGTAATATTATATGACTTTGAGGTTAACAGTGGTAGCATTAAAATTAATATGACAAAAAAATTCATCTGTCAAACTGGGCCACCTAATTCAAAAACCATTTTATTCCAAGTTGTTATGTCTTTAAGAGTACAGTTAATCAAACTTTTTTAAAATTCAACATTTTTATTCTGAAAAATTGGATGACAAACCATGTCAAATATTCAAATCTTCATTAAAATTATATGCCAATCAGATTTTTAAAATATCTAATTGAAATAGTATTATATATTTCAGCAATGATGGAGCACGTCTTAATGAATGCAATCAACTTTCTAATTTATTGGCTCACTCTATCAAATAAGGATGAAAATAATATTTTTTAATCTGATCAGTATATAGTTTATACTTCGCTGACTTTGAAGGCTTACACACAAATTTTCCTTGCAGTTTAAGGGATAATGACTAGGTCTAACTTTTATAGATAAAAATGTATCATCGATAGTATAGCACCAATTAGATTTATTTCTAAGTCAGTTATATTCACAAACCTAAATCATAAAGCAATAATCTAGAATTTATAAATCTTATTTTTCCTTTTAAATTTCAATCATGAAAGAAGTAGAACAATTTATTTGGGAAAACCAAAATGGACTCAAAGGTACCTAAATAATTTGATAAAACAGCCTTTGAATATTCTCAAATCTACATATTAAGAACAGTTCTGTTTCTATCACCCACAGGCATTATCTTGTGTCCCTTTGCACTTTCTTTGTTCCTTTCTTCCCTCCCTTTATTTCATACTTTCTTCTTTCTTTCCTTCCTTCCTTCTTGCCTTCCTGTCTGGTTTTCCTTTTTTCTTTTAATTTCTAATTCCTCTTTCTTTTATTATTCCATGCACCCAACATTTTGGGAAAGAGCTGCAGGTAAACTTAGGTAGTAAAAAGAAAACCACTGGTCTTGTGTTAATTTTGATTATATGTTTAAAACATACAAAAAGGCCAGGCACGGTGGCTCATGCCTGTAATCCCAGCACTTTGGGAGGCAGAGGCAGGTGGATCACCTGAGGTCAGAAGTTCAAGACTAGCCTGGTGAACATGGTGAAACCCCGTCCCTACTACATATACAAAAATTAGCTAGGCATGGTGGTGGGCACCTGTAATCTCAGATATTCCGGAGGCTGAGGCAGGAGAATAGCTTGAACCCAGGAGGCGGAGGTTGCAGTGAGCTGAGATTGTGCCATTGCACTCTAGCTTGGGCAACAAGAGCGAAACTTCATCTCAACAACAACAACAACAACATGGAAAGAAGTGACTTATCTCTAAATAAAAGATTTGTTGAGTCTCTAATGTCTAATCACCTCTTCTAGGCAATGGGAGAAAGAAAATTTTACTTGACCAGATTTGAAATAAGACTGAGTCCCATTAGTTGATAAGGAGTGGGTAGGGCTGACACACAACAGTATTTGGGAAGCCCAGGAGGACAAGCAAGGGAGATTTTGAAGATACCAAGTCCAAGAGAAAGGGTGTATAGAGACATGCACTGAATCCAAAGAGAATGACCAGGCAAGACCAAGAGAGGAGATTCAGAAAGAAGAAGGCCTTCACAGTGCAGCTATCAGAAATCCATGGCTGGTAAAGGAGATATGGAGGGTATTGTGCTAGAATGGATGCTGAGAAAGTCAATTATTTACTTATGATAGGACCCTGAGACCACATTTGACCAGCACTAGAAAGAAATACCTATTTTTGTAGTCTAAAACTTTTTGACCATAAAATAAACAACAGTGGTTTGAGTAATTCAATAACATAGCCCCTTGTGACTTGAGAGTGATCATTGTAGAACCTTTTCTCAGAGTAAAACTGTAATTGGTTATGGATCAATAAGTAATTTCTTTTAGAAGGAAAAGACTCTTGTTTTCATTTTTATTTATTTATTTTTTGAAGTAGCAAAGCTCTTAAATCAGAACTGAGCACATACATTTTGAAAGTTGAGATTGCTCTAAGCAGTAAGATTCCTTACTGTACTAGTAAAATGTATCTTAACTGATCATTTATTTATGATGCCGTAAAAATCCAGATGCTCTTAATTTTGATTGTTATAAATTTGCTAAAAGGCACCTGAAATTACTTTCCAGGGTTCCCCTTTTGACAACTACATTTTAAATTGAAATTTTACTGTGGTTCAATAATGGCTGTGCTGAGGGGTTTTGTTGTGTTTTTCAAGATTACCAATGAATTCAGCCCTTGTGGTCAGTGTAAACTCCTACACAGCTTATTGGAAATTCCAGAATTCTAAGACAAAATTAAGATTAAGAAAACAGTTTAATAAAAACAGAGAATGAAAAACTTGTAAAAGTTTGTGCTAATGTACTTTGGTGTTTCATGTTTTTCTTAATTATTTTAGAACTAGTACCCAATGGCCACATTCTAACAGGAAAGAACACGATGACCTAGTCAAATGTCCTTTGGAGCGCGAGCACTGATAGAAGGAGAACTTACAGGGATAGACAAAACAAAATAGAACAAACTTCCATGGTTGCTTAATGCATGGGAAATAAAATGAATCTCAAGGATAAAAAAGAGGATGGGGAGACTTACATGCTCCTTCTGAAATCTTCTAAAAGATATATTTTAGACCAAGAACTATGATAATAAGAACCCTTTAGAAAAGTTTTTGAATGTGTGACACATTATGATTTTTGGATATATCAATAAAATATTAATACCTCTTAACAATAAAAGACACTGTGCTTCTTTACAAATAATGTGAGAAAATGAAGATTTAAAGAGTTGCAACCATACTCATTAATAATTTTTAAAATGCAGAGAAAGAAGAGAGGTCCCTGAACCCTAAAGTTAATTATGGCAACTTTCAAAGGAAAATGAAGCTTTTCATTCATGACTACTCTTTGCCATCTATTACACGCTGAGTAAATTACTGTGGGAGGCTTACAACTTAGAGAAAAGAGAATGGACCCAGGATATAAGTAGTAATTATGAATCAAAATATATTTTCCTGACACTTATGTATCAAAATGGCACAGAAACAATCTTTTTGCCATCTTCTTTCACATCCCCAAATACCTTAAAGTATCCTTTCCTTCCTTTTATTTCATGTAGCTTCAGATAAGTACTTTCTCTAGTGAGCAAAGAAATAAAGACAGAATCCAGATCTCTGCATGTCACCAGTATTACAACCTCCTGCTTCCAGCCAGATGGTATGGTATCTCCTCCTGGGCAATAACTTATTTTATTCATTTGGCAAGTCTGCCTAAAGACACGAAAATCACTCCAAAAATTTTTTTAAAATTATTTTGAACACAGAATTAACAGGAATTCACACTCCAAAAAAAAAGTTTGCATTGCAAAGAACGTGATTAACAACAGCAATAGGTATGTGGTCTTATTTCCTCTAGATTGGATTCATATTTCCTATAACAAAGTACTGGTTTCTGGGGGAAGGAAGCATCCAAGAGGCAAAATTATAAATTCTTTACAAAAAGTTAACAGTAAAAAGTAAAAGCTGAATCTTATTCAAAAAGTACTTACTATATGCAGTTCTAGGTAGTCACCCAAGCCTGAAGAACTGTCCACTCGCACCAATACAGCTTCTTTCTGAACAGTGCTAAACCCTATGGCCAGTCTGTCTGCTCGTGTACTGGGTCGGTCATTAGGAGGCCACTTATACGTGATTTGTCCACCACCTTTGCTAAAGATATATGTTGTCCCAGCTGGAAAACAAAAAACAAAACCAATTAGTCCAAATACATCAAGTCTGCACATTAGCAAGGCATGTTATATTGATATATCAGTACAGTATCAACTCTACACACAAAACTATGGCAAAGCAAATTATAGATTTCAATCAAATGTGCTCAGGAAAGTGGACTGAGTTGTTCTAAAAGAAACAGAGAGGTAGCTCAGTTTTTAATACACTGATTAAATTTACCAGCAGTTGTCTCAGAACAAATAGTAGGTTACTGTGTTTTCCATGGAGTTGGACAAGAATGGAATGGAATAAGGCTTTATTTCTTCCTGCCAGTTTTTAAGAAATAGTTTCATAGAAAACATTGACTGGATGCTTCCAAAAAGCAATAGCAACATATATCAACTTGGTATTGAAACAGGAGCTGCATGCAGATGTGACAGGATCATACAGCACCGTGGAGAAAGTCGCAACAAATGTGCTAGGAATATAACTTTTATGGAAAAAGGATCTACTTACATGTGACAGATAACTAATGGATGAACAGCCACAAGCCCCAGTAGCCATGTCAAGAAAATACAGCTAATAGATCTCATCCCTAAAAGTCAAGTTTTACTTAACAAGCAACATCTAGTAGCTGTCAAACTATTCAGAATCATAAAAAGACCCTCATCCTCTGCCACCCCAAGGTGAATACAAGCTTTATAGCACTGAGAATAATGTCACGGACTCATTCTGTGAGTGTTCAAGTTTTACCTTATGGTGGTCTTGTCAGTAAATTATCCAGCTTAATTGAAAAGAGTTGTTTTCAAACCAATTTATTCAGCATTTGATATAGTTTGGCTCCGTGTCCCCATTCAAATCTCATCTGAAATTGAGATAATTTCAGATCCTCATGTGTTGAGGGTGGGGCCTGGTGGAAGGTGATGGGATCATGGCGTGGCTTTGCCCATGCTGTTCTCATGATAGTGAGTTCTAACAAGATCTGATGGTTTCATAATTCCTTGACATTTCCTCCTACACACACTTCTGTCTCTCCTGCTGCCTTGTGACAAAAGTGCCTGCTTCCCCTTCTACCATGATTGCAAGTTTCCTGAGGCCTCCTCAGCCTTGCAGAACTATGAGTCAATTAAACCTCTTTTCTTTATCAATTACCCAGTCTCAGGGAAGTTCTTTATAGCAGTGTGAAAACAGACTAATAGAGCATTTGATGCACTAAAGTCTTACCTCAATGCATCATTCAATGGCCATCCACTTTGTTTCTATTCTTTTGAGGGCCTGGATAGAACCAAAAGGTGAAAAAAGAATGGATTTTCTCTCTTTCTTCTCCTGACTGCTTAAAATGGGACATTGTTCTTTCCCTGCCTTTGCAGCTTCTTGTTCTCATGCCTTCAAACCTGGACTGAAATCTACATCATTGTTTCTCCAGTTCTCAGTCCTATGATCTATACCCATAGTTTTTCTGGTTCTCCAACTTGCAGACAGCAGATCATATATGACTTGATCATATATACATGATCATACATAATAAGAGAGAATATTAAACATCTTGTATTTATAGAAAAATATCTGGTACCAAGAGTAACATCTATGTGCAAAAGTTGTGTGTACAGCAGTATGTTTTCAAGATACCTATACATTGAATTGCTATGATTACCAAGTTTATCAGTTAAATGGAGATGACCTACTATCACATTTGTGTACATTTAATTAAACAGCTGACAATATTGATTTTGTGGCCATTTTTGGAGGCAACTCTTCTTTGTTTTCAGTTACAGACATTTCCATAGGCCTTTGAGAAACTCCAAAGACCTCTGCAATATGCATAGTGTACCTGATGCTTAAATAGGCCTTGGTATATAGACCTCTTCCAGAAAACATGTTAGGAGAAAATTGAATGCAAAAGTGATAAACAAGAATACTGTTAAAATGCAAAGGTATAGAGGCTGTGCCCTTCTCTATTAATTTTTGTGGATACCAATGCATGAAAATAGCTTATCTCTTTCAAGTGAGAAAAGGTAAACCATATTTCAAAGGTACCAGTCAGTGCACAAAGAAAATTCAGAATATACAGAGTATATATCAGAAATGCTTGGGCTTTCCTGAGCCACTTATGTTCTACAGCATCAGAAGCTTGTTCATCATCATCTTTATAGGCAAGTACTATTTGAGAAATATTTTTCTGCCTGGTAACTTTTGCAAATGATTAAGTATTAACTTTTCTAGTGAAGCCTATTGTTGATAAAAAATAGGACAAGAACATATAAAAGTGGAGATGGCTTTAAAAGGAGGACGTAGTGGTTACCTCTGAGTGCTGATACTTAATAATTAATTTATTTTCTGTTTTTAAATTAACTTTGTTCTCTAATGACTATATATATTATGTGAAATAAGAAACATATTCAAAACTAGAGATCCTATTTAATGATATAAAACAACACAAATCTAAGAATTCCGATGGTTTCAGAATTATAAGTGTGAGGTAGGCATTACAAAACAACATTGCATAGTAATTTTTAACTTTAAAAATAACATTCACAATTAAAAAAAATTCTTATCTCCTTATGTATGTAACATAGGGCAGACATTACTTCCATGCTATATCTGAGGAAATTTAGTCATAAGGATTAACATGCGATCTAAAGTTGCAAACTTGATTAATTGGCAGAGTTGGTATAAAACCCATATCCTCACTCCTATTCCAGTATATATATATATATATATATATATATTTATGACAGAAATATTTCTGTTATCATAACCAGGCAGTCAAGAAAAAGTTAATTGGATGTCAGTCTGAATTTATCAAGGCCAACTGTTTTCATATTCTAATGTCTTATATCCATAAAGTGACATTTGCTCTTCATTATCATATACTTTCTTTTCACCTCATGATACTTTTAAAAAGAGAAAAATAACATGTAAATGTAAAATGACAGAACATTTAATATATGTAGATTAACATTTAGTTGGGGTGCACTTCCCAAACCTATGAAACTACAAAAGTTTCCAGCTCAGTTACAGAACTTGTGGGTAGTAATTTGAAGGTTTATATTCTCAGTAAGGTAAGTGTCACAGTATAAATACCATTACTCAAGATTTGATTTCATCTCAGATTTTAACCTTTTTCAGTGAATGTAAAACTTGATGATTACAAAGAGATTAGCTAACCTGTCCTGTTTAGAATGACTTTACAGTTTTTTAGGTTTCACCAAAACAAAGCAAAAAAAAAAAAAATTGCAACTACTGTGTGTCAAACATTGTCATTATATCTAGTTTCCTTTTTTTCCCACCAGATATATCCAGAAAGCAGTCTTTCTTAATTTTTCTTCTGTATACATGGTAGTGCATTGTATTGTACTAATCAGCACAATTTTATAAGCAAGAAAATTAGATATCCAGTCCTTCCTCAGCTCTCTTCTATATACTTTTATAAGCACTCTGGCTTTTTTTTTTTTTTTAATTAACTTTGCATCAAACTTTACAAAATCTCCTATATTCTTAAAGCCCTCTTTTCATTGAGCTAGAAAATTACTCTCACAATCAAATATAGTAAGTTAGATTGTTTAAAGTTTCAAAATCTATCTCCTTTAACACACATCTTTCTGAACCAAGGACATGTTGTACTTACTGAAGCAGAATAGCTTAGAGATTAGAATGTAAACTCTAGACTCAGAGAGATCTGGGTTCAAATTCCAACTGTGTCATTTGCTAGCTACGTGAACTTGGTAGCCATTTATTCTTTAATGGGATTCCTATTTGAAAAAAAGATGGGGATAGCAATACTATCTTATAGAGCTCTATCAGAATTAAATGAGATATTACAAAGTAACATTTAGTCCATTTCCTGGTATATGATAAAAGCCTAATAAATTTTAGCGAGAATAGGTGTCATGTATGAGGGCAGTTGTGTGTGTGTGTTGTAAAAATATAAAATAATGAACACTGTAACATTGTTTTATTTTAATATGAAAGCCTTTTAAAAAGTTGGACATATTTCAAAGTTGTGTCCAAATCAAATGACTTTCAAAAATGACATTTCTACCTTGTAATTTTTATTAATCTTTTCAATATTTCATAGCATGGATTAGAACTTTTATGTAAACTCATTATATTATTATTTATGTTCGGTAATAGTTGACAATGGAAGGGATATTAAATTGTATCACATGGGAGCTTTCATGAGAAAAAGAATATTAGTTCATCACCATAAAACATCCAGCATAGTAAGATTTATAGCATAATGCAAAAAAAAAATCACCTGACCATTACATAAAGACCAAACTTACAAAAAAAAAAAAAAAAAAGAAAAAACCTGCTAGCTAGCTTTTTAAAAATTTTATCTTTAAAGAAACATGTTTTATTTTACTATATAAGTGAGTTAAATATGCAGTGGTAGTTACATCTTAATCACAGTTCCAGTATAGAGAGGAACTTAGAGGAATGTGTCACCTTTATTATTTATGCATGTTTCTACATGGCAAACACTACCACATCAGTACCATGTCTACTAACGGATTTACTGCAAATTAACCTTGCCATCCATCAGATCACTGAATGTATGAATGACTGAAATTTAAAGTGGTTTTCAGCCATCTCCACATTTAAGCTGTGCAGCAAGCCTCTATTACTCACTCTAAATTCATTCACAAAGTTGGCTCTATCAGACACGAATTTAGCAATGTCAACATACTTTACACTCCAATAAATGTTTGTAAAAAATATACATGGGCTCCCATATCTCTTGCTTAAACTGCCTGTGATGTTATAATAAGGGAATATTTTTAGATCTTATTGAACATGCTATTTACATATAGGGCTCTCTCCCCTTCCGTTCTTTCTTGCCAACTGTCCCTTGCCTATACGTGCCCACTTCAGCCTCACGTCAATTCTGCGAAGGCTAACATTTTCCCTTACATAGACTGAACATTTCTGAAAAGGGAAACCAATCAGCATGTACAGGTACGCTCAATTATTGGTTGCTCTGGATCCTTGCTACATGAACAATAATATAATTAACTTTGG